GTCACCTGTCGCCCGGCCATGTCCCCAACGCCGCCCGGCAACCCCGGCATTCCTCCCCATTGGCGATAGACTCTATTTGGCAGGAGGAAGTCCGGCCACTTCCGTTGTCACCGGCAGCGACTCGCACATCCCTTTTTTGGATTTTTTGGGGAGACAAGAGGCTCGCTCTGTCGCCCGGGCTGGAGTGAGCGCAGGGGCGTCAGCCTCGCTCACGGCAGCCTCCGACTTTGAGGCTCAAGCGAGCCTCCTGTCTCGGCCTCCCTCCCGAGTAGCTGGGACGACAGGCATGCGCCACCACGCCCGGCTCGTTTTTATTTTTCTATATATTTTTGGTTGTCCAGCTCGTTTCTTTCTATTTTGTTTTTTTAGTAGAGACGGGGTCTCGCTCTGGCTCAGGCTGGCCTCCAACTCCTGACCTCGAGCGATCCTCCTGCCTCGGCCTCCCTCCCGAGTAGCTGGGACTACAGGCACGCGCCACCACGCCCAGTTCGTTTTTCTATATATTTTTAATTGACCAATTAATTTCTTACTGTTTTTTAGTAGAGACGGGGTCTGGCTCTTGCTCAGGCTGGCCTCCAACTCCTGACCTCCAACAATCCTCCCACCTCGGCCTCCCAGAGTGCTAGGACTACAGGCATGCACCACCACGCCCGGATAATTTTTTTTTCTATATATATTTTTAGTCATCCAGCTAATATCTTTCTATTTTTTTAATAGAGATGGGGTCTCGCTCTTGCTGAGGCTGGCCTCCAACTCCCGACCTCGCACGATCCTCCCGCCTCAGCCTCCTCCCAAGTAGCTGGGACCACAGGCATGCGCCTCCACGCCCGGCTCGTTTTTTTTTCTATATATTTTTAGTTGTCCAGTTAATTTCTATTTTTTAGTAGAGACGGGGTCTCGCTCTTGCTCAGGCTGGCCTCCAACTCCTGACCTCCAGCGATCCTCCCACCTCGGCCTCCCAGAGTGCTGGGACTACAGGCATGCACCACCACGCCCGGATAATTTTTTTTCTATATATATTTTTAGTCATCCAGCTAATTTCTTTCTATTTTTTTAATAGAGACGGGGTCTCACTCTTGCTCAGGCTGGCCTCCAACT